ATTTGAAATGAATATATTCCGATTTAATGAGCGCCAATGTTTTTAACAGTGCAAAATTTTTGCATATTTCAACAACTTTGTTGCTATTTCAATTTAGTGAAATGGCAAAAAGTTCGTTTGAAGAGAATTTTCGTACAATGATTATGATAACCATTCAATGAAATCATAATTTCGCATAACCAATGAAAAATAGATTAAACCGGCGCATCTATATGCTTAACTTCATGCCTAAGTTGCGCAAATTTATTACGATTTGATGTATACCAATGTTTTTAATGGTACAAAGATGTAGCATATTTGAAGGAATTTATACTGAATGATTTTTCGTTGGAGATTGTCATTGCTGAAAACTCCATTGTGAGAAAATTTCTGTATAAAGATGGGACTTCTTTTCAAGTTGAACCATAATATCACAGATTTAACAAAAAAGATAAATAAATTTAACTTTCATGCCGATGCAACTGATTAAGATTTATAACTGTGTAACATGTCAGATTATTTAGGAAAAAATTGTTAATTAATTTTTACTGTTCACTCTAATTTTATTCACACTATCAATTTACCTGAAACTTTTCTTTAGAACTGATTTTCCGTAGTAAAGTGAATAATTGAAAAATAATCTACGGCAAAAATTACATTCGCTTTACTACGTGAATGCTTTATTCATGATAATATACCCAATATAATAAAAAAATGTTATTTCTGAAAATTGAATGCATATATAGTAATAAAAATTTTCAGTCATCTAAAACTGAAGTACAAGATTAGATCCTTATCCCTATTTCACACACAGCTGAACAAAATTTCATATATATGCTATACAAATAAGCTTCATAACAATCTAGTATATTTTCTGCGGCAGAAGCATAACTGCTGGCGTTATCTTTATAAGTCCAGTTTCATTAACGAAAATGAACCGCGTGAAGTCATATGGAAGCTCATTTGCATAAATAGCTAGCGTCGTGCTCACCGCCGATTAGCGAATCGTACGAAAATGCGAGGCCCCCCAATTGATCCCCGAAGCCTCGTTCGAAAAATACTTATCGCCTTTATTGTTCGTATTTGGAGCTATAACTTCTTGATGCGATTATGAACCGAAGAAGGGAAATTGCTTGTTCCGGGAATTAGAGTATTGAGGATATCGTTCAGCAAAGATTATCCAGAGAAACTCTATAGATATATTTCTTTTCCATGAAAACTTCAGTTGGTGGATTCAAAATATCAAATATTTGAAGGATTTTTTTTTCTCAATATTTGTTGCTGTTAATTTGCATATTTTATTATGCTTATCAATTAAAAATTGCTTATCCAATTGTTGTAAGCATATTGTACGAAACAGAATTCAAAAATGTTTGCAAAACAGTATTCTAAAATGTTCTCAAAGAAATCTTCAACGATGCTTGCTAAAAAATATTCACTTTTTTTTTTAGTTAAACGGGATTTAAAAAAAGTTTATTAGAAAATTAAAATAAATTTTGCCAAAATCCATAGGAGTGACCTTACTACAGATGTCAGAAAAACGCAATTATTAATATCAAAATATAAAGGGTACATCGTGTTAAGTAGTACATAAAAATAAAATTCAGTAAATATGTTTATGAGACATTTTTTTAATCTATTAATTTCAACTGAGACAATCAATCAACTAATAAACGAAAAACAAACTGTGAAGGAATACAGGTATAAGCACAACTAATGAGGAAAATATTTATGGTTAAAAATTTAACCGAAACTAAGTCTGTAATACTATATAAACAAAACATGCTGAAAGAGCCGTTTCTTACTGAAAGGCAATGAATAAAATTGATGCATATTTGAAATAACTTATTTTTACTATTTTATTAATATATCATGCTTCTACAATTTTAGATATATTATATATTATCGCAGCTTATCTCTAGCTGTAATCTTTTTTGCTATTGGACTAACTATTTAAGATGATTTCTGTTTCTTATCTTCTGTTTCTTATATATTAATGAAACTGTTAAAAAACAGTTATAAAAATAGCATTTGTTCCTTGAAAAAAGTGCTAGACAGAGACACTAAATATTTAGCAGAAGTTTTCTCTAAAAATTTACATATTTTAATATCACTCAGAGAGAGTAATGGAATGCTGAATACCCCCGAAAAGCCACGAAATATTTAAATAATGATAAAATAAACTTTAAATAATTCATCAAAGACCTTACTAAAATGCACAGTAAAAAATTCTGGATCAAATTACGATATAAAGTATCGGCACTTTGGGTGCGTCATCCGTAGAATTCATTTTTACTGTAAAATACAATGCAGCAATTGTTACAGTAATATTTATTTAGAGTGATTCAGTGATAATGCTGTTATTATTACTGTAAAAATTACGGTACATCAGATTTCTTGTTCCGTTGCATGTTCCGCTGGAATTGGATTTTACAATAAAAAGTACCGGCACCTTGAGTGCCGGTACTTTTTACAATAATCTGATACGGAATTTCTTCATATTACAGTACACTGTCGAAACAGTGTCAAGACATGATTAAAGCTTCGAAATTTTATTAATAGATGGAATTCTAATTCTTTTAAAATAATATCAAGTTTAAACTTATTTTCAAATGAACTAACTTGTGAGGGAAAAATAAAGTAATGAAACTTTTAAATAAAAACTACCAAATGTATTGTAAAATAAAAAAATTTCTTCAAGGGCAGCAACGCAAAAATAATTTCTAAGTAGTGTTGATTGAGTGATGTGTCCATTCTGAAATACAAATATTAAACAGTATATAGATTATATTAAAAGTATTTTAAACTGTTTCCATCTGTATATCGTGTAAAATAAGTTAGCTTTTTCACAAAAACTGTAAGAGAAGCTTAATACGATATGCTTTTAATATCTTGCAGATATGCTTTGAATGAAGTTTTGGAAAAATATCTATTAAACTTTTACTCTAGGATGCATGAATTACGTATGTTGTTTATTGTGTAGTTGTGACATATATGTATAGGTAGTATGAAAGAATTCCTTATTCTAATTAAAGGTCGATTGGAGCAAGATATTTTACCTCGAAAAAATCCCTAAACTGATAGAAAAATGAGCACAAAAACAGAAATTCGTATAGTGAAACCAAAAACTAGTTCTATATTAAAAACTTTCTATCATATATGAAATGATTGCTCCAGTAGGCTTGGAATTAATAAGAATTTCTCCCATCTTTCTACTTTTTATTAATAACATGTGAAATCCTAAGATAAAGCATGCGAAATTGACGTATAATGACTAAAGTTAAGCTCAGTGACTGAGTAGTTAAAATCACGACTTAACTGCCTTTAAAAGCAAATCAAATGTATACTAAACTAATAAAAATATTGTGATTGGCAAAAAAACGCGTTTTATAATTACAATTATATAATTCTGAAAAATTACAAAATTTTGATAACCGTTATTGACTATAATTTAATGGATTAAAAATAATTAAATATATGTGTAAAACATAATTATATGTCAAACAATGTATGTAAAATATATCACAATTCATTATTCAGATTTTATTGACACATTTAATAAAATCTGCAATGGATCAGAATTTGTTTGAGACATTGTCCATCAGGGGTAGATATAAATAATTTTTCTGCGAGAAGTTTTAAAATTTTTGTATTATAGTTTAAAAAATGTAAAATTGCATTCACAAATCGTAATAAAAAATACTAATTATTTTATGATTTTTTTCTTCGTAAACTAATGATTACTATTTTTGCAATATTTTCTGATATGCATCAATCATATGTCTGTGATACAATCATGATGAAAAGCTTAAGCAATTTTAGAGTTTTGTTGCAATTTTTTTATTTGTTCAGACAGTATAATTATTTAGCATAATTATGTAGGTAATTTAATCAAATAAATATTTTATACATTAGGTTTTTTAAAAATAAATTTTCTTTTAGCGCAATTGTTACTGATCACAATTATTTGCTCAAAAAATTTATATTTCATTATATTGAACAAAAATAAGCATTAATATATATTAAAAAAATTAACAGATTGATGCTGATAGATTTTATAGATACATTTGATATAAGAGATACATGCCGATAGTATTAAATGATGTATCTAAAAAAAGTATCATTTTTATATTGTTTAGTAAAAATATTAACAATCTTCAGAACATCAAACACGATTTCTCATATCTAATAAAACAAGAATTATGCGCATAAAAAAGATGCTCTATCATATCCATTTTGTTAAAAAGAAAGAAAAAAAAAGACGTAGAAACAATAAAATCAAATTTATTTTATCAAAAATAAAGAAAGAAAGAGATATTTTCCGTTAAGAAACTTCTCCGTCCGTCAATGAAAAGGATAATATTAGAAAGATTACGGCATCATTTTGATAACTTTAATTTATATACTATTGTTTTTTAAATTAAATGAGCGTATTTCTCCCATAAATGGGCATCTGCATATTGATTGACGAATGCAATTATGCCACTCTTGTTTCCTTATATGCAATATATCTCTTGCGCACAAAAATGCATATGCAATTCAAATCATACGTTTTTGGGTGATAATATGGAATTGTTATGCTCTCTCTTACTGGTGAGTGGCTATTTTCGACTTGTGAATTATGCCTAAATAAAGCATTCCCGCAACAGCCCATAATGGGCAAAAAGAGTCATTAAGGTTAAGAAATAACCTGATCAAACTAAAACAAATTAAATGACTTAATATTTTCAATTTTTATGAATCTGAAAAGAACATATTCCTAAATTTTGCAGTTCATTTGTAATATTGTAGCTAAATTAGAAAGAGAGAGGGGGAAAAACAATAAATTGATTTCTGTATTTAAATTTACCAAAGAAAAAAAATTAAAATCAATAATTTAAATTCTTTAATATTTTCAATTTCTATAAATTTAGAAATAACAGTCTATCTAAACTTAATAACGTAAATAAATGAAAAAAATACATATATTTTTGTATTTCCATTCTCTGAAGTCGTGTATTGAATTTTCCTCTTTTCGACAGAGGGCAGCACTAGGAGAAGAATGTTTGGACGATGAGTGTGAAGATGAAGAGAAGATCAAAGATCATCCTGGACGTCGAGAAGAGGAGGAGCGGATGACGCAATCCCCCGACACGCTCCTTGGCTCCATCAATTTGCACATGGAACTCGCAACGAAGAAAAGAGAGGTGAGTGCTGCCATCTCCTAGACAGTTTAGTAACTTATCAGTTGTAGAGTTGTTATTTACTCAATGCTTTTTGTCTTTTTTCTTGTCTTTTTTCTGTTAAATATTTATACCACAAATGAATATTATGAAAAATCGATTCAATGCAATATAAATTTCAAATGAAATCATTAAATTACTTTTTCTTTCATTTAAATTTTTGTTTAAATTGTATCTTACAATTCGGCAAAAACATAAATTTTTATGCAACTTTAAATATAGTTACTAAGAAAAAAAGCGTAATGAAGTATCTTATTCGTACTTTGAGTATTGATATGCTTTCACTTGAAAATATTTATATTATCAAAAACCTGAAAGTTTTAATTCGAAAAAAAAAATTCTATCTTTTGCAATGCAAGCCTTTAAAAACAGAAAGATGAATTATGAATATTTGTAGTGTCTCCAAAATGTACCAATTTTTTAGATGTATCACTTTATTAATTTTCAACTTAATTATCAACCTAATGTAGTTAAGTTTGTTCTTTTTTTTTTAACGAAAATTTATATCTTTGAGCAGCTTGCTGTTAAATTGGATAAATGTGGTGGACAAAACTCACCTAGTTGATAAAATATTGAGAGAAAAAAATAAATAAAAGTATAAGTTTCGGTGATTATCCATTGTTACATAGTTAATATTTATTTATTATCATTTATTTATCTTAAAATTTTGAATGAATTTCGTTAACTTCCAGAACTGAACACGAAGAATAGATTACATATTTTAAGATATACTTATGATTTTTTTTAACTCATCTAACTTTAGCTATTTTCTGTAAACTGTAACTTTTATCTATACATTTTAATTTAATACTAATTAATTCATGAGTTTATTTTTCTACAAAAAACGTGTTTTGATCGAAATAGAATGAAGATATGTTTAACTATTCTAGAGAGCTTTATTAAATATCTTCTAACTTATATTAAATCACTAAATGTATATTTATATTAAATCATTAAATTCTATCAAGGACTGCTAAATTTAAATCCAATTTTTTTCTTACAGAAAATAAGAACAGTCAAAATTAAACAAGTGCCAAAAATTGATAATTAAATATAATATAAATTAAATATAATATAAATTAATAACAATGTAAATTAAATATAATATAAACTAAATGTAATATAGATTNTGTTTTAATTGAAATAGAATGAAGATATTTTTAACTATTCTAGAGAGCTTAATTAAATAACTTCTAACTTATATTAAATCACTAAATATATATTTATATTAATTAGATTGTATATTTATATTAAATCATTAAATTCTATCAAGAACTGATAAATTTAAATCCAATTTTTTTCTTACAGAAAATAAGAACAGTCAAAATTAAACAAGTGCCAAAAATTGATAATTAAATATAATATAAATTAAATATAATATAAATTAATAACAATGTAAATTAAATATAATATAAACTAAATGTAATATAGATTTAACATAAAACTATTTCAAAAAGAGCTATCATTATTATGTGAGCAGAAACAGTTTCACTTATCACTAATTTCCTAGCTTCATTCATAGTTGAAATTTAATTATAACTATATGATACGAATAATTTTTTGCCGAATTTCTTTCAATACGAAAGTTTTTTTCCTATGTTTAATCTACTTTTGTACATTCTGACTTCTAATATGGTTATGACTTCCTTTTTTTTTTTAATGCATAAATTTGTTTCAGGTATCTCACCTTGTAGATGAGATGCAACGACTTCAATCAAGCATCAACAATTTGAAAGAAATTAGCACATCAAAAGTAAGATTCGTATATAACATTTCATTCTATGGTTTTTATAGGAAATTTCATTAGTTTTGTGATAATATACGCATTTGCGTTTTTTATAATAACAGTAGATTTATTATAACTTCCTTTGGAAATTTGAGCAAGATGCAATTTTCGTCATTGACTCACTTACGGGCCTTGAGGATGATGTTTATTTAAAATCATATAAAATGTTATTAATTTTAAAATTTTTAAGCTATGATCCCCCGCAAAGTAAATAACTATGATCAATGAATTTTATATTATTTGTTTTTAATTTAAAAATCCTGAGAGCTTTTTACTTTGAATGCTAAGTTTGACAGCTCAAATATTTTTTTTTACTACAATAATAAGCTTACAACAGAGCAACGATATACAGCCAAAGACCAAGTGTAAAACAAAAATCTAGGAAGCACAATTTTTCTATTAAAAGAATCGCAAAGTTTCAGAATCCTTAATTTAATTTACTCCTATTGGCAATGGCATCAATTTTATTTTATTTAGAAGAAAACTCAATTTCCTTTTTTAAAAAAATAGAAGTTTTAAAGAATTCCTTATGTTTTAGATATCTCAACTTCAAGACATGGTAACAGAAAAAGATAGAGTAATCAAGGATCTCGCTGAAAAGCTACTTCGTCAGCAAGATTACACCGATTTAAAAAGAGAACTACGGTAAGCTCTTCATAGAGCATCCACTTTTAAATAGTTTACACTGGGGAACAAGCTTTTTGTTGCATTTATATAAATATTATCTTGCCTAATTTATGGTGTGTTTATTTCAAATCTTGAATTAGTTTTGCTCTTAAGGCTACAGATTTTTTTGATGACATTTTTAGTCTATTTTTCGTCGACATGAATAGGTGTAAAAACGTTATATATAACAGGAGTACATTTCATCAAAAAAATATTAAAAATACCATTTAAAAAATCCATAGCTTGAAGAAAAAACCGATTGCAAGTTTAAAATCAGTGAAATGAAAGTTTCTAAAACCTGTTAAATCTCGAGCAACAGAAAACAAAAGAAAAATTGTTCCCCGGTGTTATTATTAATGAAAATTTCTAAATTTTCATCGTGCTAAATTTTTATTTAAATGTTTTTTATTCAGACTTTTAAAAGCTCTTGATATGGGAGGTTGGCAGGCTTGGGGCAATGATCAAGCTGAAGCAAATTCACCGACCAATGAGAAAACTCCTTCTGAACCAGCTGACACAAACGGAGCTAGAATGACACCTCCATCGGGTATGAAACACTTAAAAAATGTACTTTTGTTTTACACGCACTATTTGATAGATTGACTAACGCTAAATCATATTATTATTCAAGTTATTCCTACTAAGTAAGTAAGTTAAACAACATGAAAGAGTACAAATTACTGCATTAAGTAAGTTAAACAACATGAAAGAGTACAAATTTTGACTACATTGTTTCTACGTTTAAAAATACTTTAATATTACTTAGATTATTACGAGTTAAACAATTTTTTTAACGGTGCAACAAAAGAAATAGCCAATTCTACTTTTGTGCACTCAGATATTTGTTATTCCTTAAAAATGATTGAAAAATAATCATTGCACCATATCATATAAGGTTTCGGTTGAGATTTCTGCCATCACTTTTCTCCTTCTTACACTTAACTATATAATAATATGGCTCATTTTAAATGAAAATATAGATTAACACCACAATAAATTCAGCGACATTACGATACGAATGATGCAATTCGGCGAATACGATAAATGAAAAAATAAAAACACGTCAATAGTAAATTCGCAGAATTACTTTAAACCGTTATGATTCAATTTTGAATTGACTCTCCAGAAGATTGATTCTAATATTATTAATAACAAAAATATAATCTTTTCGTTCAATAATGCTTCATTTAAGTCTCAGCTAAACGTTTTAAATGATTCTTGATAGCAATATATATGAAAGTACATATCATAAATAAGTATGACAAGCTAATCAAATCTGATGCAAAATTACAGATGACGAAAGTGTTGGTGGTACTGAAGAACCAACCTCGGCATCCACTCCTCCCTCTGTGTCTTCAGTAGTCGATCAGGTGGATGTAGTATCAACAGAGCAATTGCAACGATGTCTTCGTATCAATGTTGACAGATTCTGCGGGGAGCCTCTGAATACACTCACCATATCAAGGTGCGTGCGCGAGCTGCTGAGTGTCAACAACATTGGACAAAGGCTATTTGCAAAGCTAGTCCTTGGGTTATCACAAGGTATAAATCATATTTGTTCATTTTGAAAAGTTATTCTGTTCACTGTTAGAAATTTCCCAGTAAAAATGGTTAAATAGCAATTTATTTAATTGTTATTTTACCATATTTAAACCAAAACACTCAAATAACTATTAAAAAGATGATATTCAAACTGTTAAGTATGAGAAAAAAACGTTTAATGATTGTTTTTTTCAATTACGGTTCAACAACCAGAATTCTATCCGCGTCAACTTGGCCCACCTTATGAAGCCATTTTGTTCCATGCAGCTAGATACATACTGTAGCTAAAAGGGCCAATCGGTCAATAACCGGCTGAACAGGGGTTCGTATCCCTGCGTTGATGCCACAATGTTTCTTCTTTTCTTTCAATACATGAAAATCTTCTAGTATCCTGTACTCTTCAATCGCTGACCCTAGACCAGCTCCTCCAATCTTTTTATCGTCGAGCAGCGGCCAACGTTTGATAATTTTATTGCGGCCCGTTAAAGGGAGGGGGAGGACATTGATATTTTAGATGGTTTTGATTTAATTGTATTTAAACATTCCTTCAAAACAAAATACAGATACATGCGCGGTATTGGTGCGGCTTTAGATGACGTCTCTCACCTTCCAGTTAACCTCTCATCCATAGAAAGAGTAATAAATTCGAGGGAAATACACCACAATAAAAAAAATGGAAATAATTTAATGTTCCCCGGATGGCCCGGTACCATTTGATCCAAGGATTGGTACCACTCCGGGGTGTATTAGAACACGAAACTGTCATTCACTCATAAATGGCGCAGCATCCACAACGTTTCAATGACTATCTAAGTTATATTTTTATGGCTTAGAAACTATCCTAATTGTAAATGGTTACGAAACCGAATAGTTTTGTATTCGTGGTTTTTTAACCGTACCAGCTGTAAACAGTTTCATAACCATATCGGTAAAGAAAAGTTTTTAACTATAAACTTCATGGTTAATCGGATGGACTGACTGCTGCCGGTTATTTTACCGTAATTTCAGAAGGAAAATTCTAACAGTGTATTATCTTGATGAGAATGCGTACCTTTAATAAAAATTCCCCTAAAAAAATAAGGAAGCTTTCAAAATGACTAATCTAGTGCTCATAAATTTGTTTCAGGAACGGTGTCAGAGCTGTTATCGAAGCCAAAGCCATGGGACAAACTCACTGAAAAAGGAAGAGATTCCTATAGAAAAATGCATGCTTGGGCTTGCGATCAACACTGTGTCCTTCTGCTGAAGTCATTACTTCCCAAAAAAGGCAAAATTTCTATTCTTCCTTCCTTTTGTTTTTAGTAGATATTTGAAGTTTTCCACTGGAAAACCATTAGATTAAATATTAACTAACATAGCAACCTAAGACATCAGACCATAAGGAATACGATGTAAGGAAAATATTATCAAAACAAAAATTTTTTAAAAATATAATTGTAGTGAAATTACAAACAAAGTTGGATTTGATGCATGCAAGAGAAAATTTAGGAATTCAAATATGATTTTAAAACATTCTTAAGAAAAATTCATTCATTTTTTTAAATTTTTTATCTTTAATTTTTTATTTCTACTGATTTAACTAAATAATATTTTTTCTTTGGTGTCAAAAATAGTATTTTCCGATGGTCTGAAATAAATTCTAGTTATCAATTTGATCTGATAGTTACAAAACACTAAAGCCATTATTTTTGTTTCACTCTATTTGAAGTCTACTTACACTGTATTATTTTTTTTTTTATCTAAATCAAAGAACTTTTTTCATATCCTTGATAATAGAGGTTATACTAAACTTGCAATCTTTCATCAATCTTAACACATTTTTGTATTTAGTATGCGCTCCAGCTTAATAATTTCGTTATTTTCAAAAATATATGAATTATTCCAGATTTCACTAATTTGATAATAAATGAAATTAATTCTGTACTGAAATCCTAACTATGTATTGAGTTAATTTTATCAAAATAAATTAATACATCAGTTCAACTAACATTTACGGTATTATTTATTATCTCTCATAAAAGAAACCTTTTTTAGGATTAACTCTTTTAAAGAAATTTCTTACCATTAACTCCATAAATTAATTTGTTTCTGTACATGCGTAACACGTAGTAAAGATGAAATATTAGTACAGAGAAAAGTAAATTATTAATTTTGTACCTTTATCGCATGAACAATCATTTATGAAATGAATATCTAATCAGAAAACAAATTAACGAACATTCATTTATTGCACGACCATTCCGAACTAAGAAAAACATATACTCATATGAAACATATTGTAAAATATTCATTCATTGTTTGAAAATTCGTTTAGATCAAAAAAAATTTGCCTAAGCACTGATCGAAGGGAACATTATGATTAGATTTATGAAAGGACTATTTATGAAAATTTATAAAAGGACTATTATGATTAATTTATGAAGGGACTATTTTTCAGAAAAGATATTATTTGTACTAAGATTTGTCATCAGAGTGATAAGAATTATAAGCTGAAACCGGCTATATTTTTATACAATTGCTACGCTTTTGTTTTCATTCATCGTCCATATATTATGTCTTTAGAAGGGTTTCTCGAACATGACAATTAATAAAATTTCAATTTTAGGTCGAGATGGATCATCAAAAGCTGAAAACGAAGACCGCAACCAACTAATCAACTCTGAATCTTGTCCTCCTCCTCAGTCTTCAACAGAAGACAACAATAACAATTCAGAAGTACCACTTCCATCTCATCCACAAACTCCGCATAAGGACGTGAGACACCACATGCATCCCATGGGACATCATCCAATGTATGCAGATGTTATGAACGGGTCCAAGGCAGCCTTTTGTCATTATGGTCCAGAATTTCCTCCCGTAATGCTGGCTCACATATATCAAGAGGAACTCTTAAAGCTCATAAGTAATTAATATTAACGTTACACTCAAATTATTTTTTGAAACAATTGTGTATCAGGTGTATAATATATATATATATATACTTCAACGTAATCGCCCACTACGTTGTTCGTGGTGGGAGGTTAAGCCAGAAATTAAGAATTCTCGGAACACTCTGAACACTTTAGATCTAGGAGTGTTGAATTCCCTCACAATTTTCGAAATGGAATGTCCCAATCGTCTAGCTCCAACTACCATCCCATGTTCAAAGTTTGATAATTCTCGTCTAGCGATCATAATTACATCAGAAGCATTCTGAGATGAATAACTTGAACCAGTGCACTACCCATATATACATTTTGTACGCGATACAAATACTACTGTACATTTGCATATTGTGCTATCCCATGACTTTTATCTACCTAGTGTGTGTATGTATATATTTATATACTCATGCCCTGTACTCTTCAATA